TTGCAGTAGTTATACAGGTCGCAATTATAGACCAATCGACGCGGAATTTCGCATGTAGCTAGAGTTTAGGTCGGGGAAGAAGCCTACCAATTTGGGTGGTCATCGGATAATATTTAGCGGGTAAAATAGACCATATCTTTTGTGTTGAAAAAATTCAAAATTTTTCTATTAAACCGCGATTTTTTTAAATACCGGCGAAATCACAAAGCCATGACAAGGTTACTTCTGACCTTTACATTGATGTTAACATCCAGCAAATCGGATATATAGCGAAATATGTGCGATATATATGTCTACCAAAGAAGATATGCTTGAAAGATCTCTTATATGTCGAGAACGGCTGAACTGATTTCGACAGTTCTCATCAATTCAGAATGGCCTCTTGGCAGGAAAGAAAAAACGTCTAAAAAAATCGCATAAAAATATCTCTATGAAGATGAAAATATTGATTTTTTAAAATTTTCTCATATTTTTTCAATTTTGTCATATTTTTGGCATATTTTCATTTTGAATAAAACAATTGGTAATATTTCTACAGCTAACAAAACTAAGTAGTAAGGATATCAGGATATCATATACAGATCGCATTTATGGCCCGATCCTTACGAAAATTTGCATGGGGATAAGATGAGGGTCAGAATAGAAGCCTACTCTTTTTGGAGATGATCGCCATATATTTAGGGGTTGAAATGGACCAAAAAACTGCAAAATTGTCAGCAGGTCGTAATTATCAACCGATCCTCACGCACATTTGAATGGGGGTTACCGGACATTGCAAAAGCCAAATAGTTTTGGATGGCCATCCAAAAATATTCAATGTGTGAAATAGTTTGCCAACTTTTGTAGACAAAATACGAAAATATCCATTCCAGTGACCCTTTGGAGAATTCACAAATACAGGAAAGACGCACTTCTGACTATTTCGTTAAGGCCGATTTCGTTGAAGAATATAGTCAAATGTCTTTATCTCATATAGATGCGTTTTAGTCAAAAACCAATAATAAATGTTAATCTTTTGCCACTTCTGAGAGATTATAGGTATTTGGGAAATATTGGTTCCAGATCTAGGAAGACCATTTACGTGCAACATCTACCAATAAATTGGAAATGAGCAAATTAGTTTAAGTTGCTATTATTCGAAAATTATAGAACGAAACCAGATGGTTTTCTTTTATTATTTGTCACAATATCTTGTGGAATTCTTTCGAGTATCTCGCCTATATAAACTGTATCATTTATTATAGTGTTGTAGGGTATTCAACGGTCGGCCCCGATCGACTGTAGCCTTTGCTTACTTGTTTTTTTTCTTTCGAATTTTCTGGACCAAAAAATTTCATTTTTTTCTTCTTGTCCATCTGTTGATTGAAACAACTTTGTCATGTCGTCGTGTCGTTTTACGCATCTGTCTATTGCTTTCGCGATTTTCTTTTTAATATTCTTTTCTATTTTCCCATTTCTTGTTATCCAATCACAACAAAACGTCTGAAGTGTGTTAGCAGGATTTTCTTGCTTCCAATAAAAAGAAATCATTTAATATCTCTGATCTAAATATAACAACAATTTTTAATTTTACATCTTGACTTTTTTGTCCTTAGTAAAGCAACAAGAACAACAAAAACAACTTCAATGGCAACTACAAAGCTTAATATTTCCAATATTAAGCCAAGTTGTCTATGGGCTGGGCGCTATCGAGCAAAGTACTTGACAAACATTTTGTAGGCGAACCAATAAAATGGGATTTTCTTATTTACCTTTCCCAAGATACTTTAAAAGAGAATTGTAAATAATACGAAATTAATATTTCAATATCGTAGCATCAAGATTATAATGGCGATATTTTATTTACAAACTACTCGAAGGCATTTTAATAAAGTAACAAATAAAGTGAAGTAGCAACAAGCAGAAGACAGAATATAATCGGCTTTGTTGGTATTATTTCGAGTATTGGAAATGAGCAATATCCAAGAACTCAAATTTCAATTAAAATATTTGCATATTTTAAAGTTCCTGCAAAAGATAAATAAATAATATAAGTTTTGGAAATACAGGGTGAGATGAAACAAGTAAAAAAACATTTAGATCGGCCGGGCCAAACTTTTAATACCCTCCACCTTAGGGTAACGGAAACATTAGAAGAAATGTGGCAAAAACCATTAAAATGCCAAATATCGAGAGATGCCGTTGTATGGGGGCTATACCAAATCGTGGACCTACACATGCAATGTTTCGCCATAGCAGCTAGAACCCATTATGACCTAGAAATACCAATTTTCAGAGAAATCCGTGAAAAAATGTGGCAAAAATCAAAAATTACCGAATATCGGGAGGTACCATTATATGGGGGCTATACCAAAACGTGGACCTATAATTTCAATGACTCGCCACACGAACTGGGACCCATTATTATTTACAGTTACCAATTTGCAGAGAAATTCGTGAAAAAAATGTGTCAAAAATCACTAAAATACCGAATATTGGGAGGTATCGTTATGTGGGGACTATATCAAAACGTGAACCTATACATACAATGTTTCGCCACACAAACTAGGACCCATTATGACCCACAAATACCAATTTTTAGACAAATCCGTGAAAAAATGTGTCGAAAATAATCAAAATACCGAATATCGGGAGGTACCTTTATATGGGGGCTATACCAAAACGTGGACCTATAAATGCCAAGTTTTGTCACACGCACAGGGACCCGTTATGACCTACAAATACCAAATTTTAGACAAATCCGTGAAAAAATGTGGCAAAAATAATCAAAATACCGAATATCGGGAGGTACCTTTATATGGGGGCTATACCAAAACGTGGACCTATACATGCCATGTTTAGCCACACGCACAGGGATCCGTTATGACCTACAAATACCAATTTTCAAACAAATCAGTGAAAAAATGTGGCATGAATCATCAAAATACCGAATATCGGGAGGTACCGTTATATGGGGACTACACCAGAACGTGGACCGATATATCTCATTTTCAATATTAACCATCCTAGACACAATAAAAATTGCTCTGCTAAATTTTGGCGCTCTACGTCAAATAATGTGGGCTGTATCGTGATTTCAACAGACAGACAGACAGACGGACATCGTTAAATCGACTTAGAATTTTATGCTGATTATGAATATATGTACTTTATGGGCTCTACGACGAATATTTAAGGATGTTACAAACGGAATGACAAAGTTAATATACCCTCCTGTCCAAGGTGGAGGGTATAAAAACTGCAACCAGACTTCAGACTGCTGTCATTTCTAAGCCGACAGCTGTTAAAATTATTCCGGTGACAGCTCATTATATTGTTTACAATCGTGCAAAAGCATTTTGGTGAGAATTTTTCAGAAAAAGAGTTATTCGTGATGGAACTCAAGCGGGATAGTGTGATTTCTTTATATTTGGCTGGAAAACCACAAGTGGCTATCGTTAGGGCACTCTATCATTTAAATGTGAATACATTTTTTGTGTCTCGTACCATCGCTCGTTACCGTGATACCGGTAGCGTAGCCCGACCTCAAGGAAGTGGACGGAAGAAAACAGCCACATCAGCAGAAATGGTTCGAAAAGTAAAGAAGCGAATTGATCAAAACCAGCGTCGCAGTGGCCGAAAAATGGCTCGTAAGCTGAACATATCGCAATATTCCATTCGGCAAAAAATAAAAAATGAGCTCGAGGTTAAGTCATTGAAATTCCAAAAAGTGCAAGAACTTACACTGCAACAGAAAGAAAATTGACTCAAAAGAGCTAAAGAGTTGCTTCGCTTGGCCGAAAGTGGTGAACTGCCGAATATAGGTTTCTCCGATGAGAAAACATTAGTTGTACAGCAGTTTGTAAACAACAAAAAAATGACAAAGAGGTCAGCTGAAAATGTGCACCTTCGATTGGCCACCAGAACTCAAGCGCCGGCCATGGTGAAGGTGTGGGCCGCCATAACAGCCGATGGTCGCTCTCCGCTCGTATTAGTGGACCGTGGCATCAGAATAAATGCCGAATATTATTGCGAAAATATTCTGGAGGGTGTATTAAAGCCTTGGACACGCAAACATTTTGGGCGCAGACCTTTGACATTCAAACAGAACTCAGCACCATCGCACTCAGAACGCGCTACCCAAGAATGGGATTCCTCGCTTCATTTCCAGCGCACAATGGCCACCAAAATCTCCGAATACCAAACAGTTGGACTATTGTGTTGGCAATGAAAAATAGAAAAGGTTGGCAATGAAAAATACCAAAGTGTCGATCACCTCAAGCAAGCGCTCCGCCGGGAATGAGCCAAAATACCGTAGAGCAACATTCGGGCAGCATGTGACGGTTTCATTGGCCGTTGAAGGACATATTTCGTGCCAAAGGTGACGAAATATGGCCTTCAACGGATATTGGCCATTTGGTGCACAATTAACCCGAAATCGGTTGAAATCTGATCCGATTATCACCAATTTCAATAGGGTTCATCCTTAGGCTAAACAAACACTGTTTGGAAATTTGTTTGCATTTTGTTCACAAAAATACATGAAAAGAAAGTGTTTCTATGAAGATCCTCAAAAATAACTATGGGTCTATTTCGCTTCCTTCTCCATGTTACAAACAAATGCACCAAGACATAATACCCTTACCACTATGTCTTGTAGGGTATATAAATTTGTTTAATTATTTCAGGGGATTACCCCGATCCGTTTTTGTTGTAAATCCCCTTTATAGCCTGCCACTTTTTATCCACCTATACCGACTTCAATACTCTTGACTTTAATATCCACAAATCCTTATCCAATTAAGAAAAAAAAAAACACACCACCCATATAAAATGTATGGATTAACGTACATACATAAAGCCGCCTGACAACATGTATCATAAAAAACAAAATCTGAATATTCAATTTCCTATAATGTGTTCGACTATAATAGCTTTATCATGTCGAATAAGAGAACATCATAAATCAATTTCTTCCTACTCAACGTCTATCTGCTTTTCTTTGTTTTGTTTGGTTGCAGGTTGAATATGCCACCACAGAATCGGTTGTAACAGTAGACTGGGAAAATGGTTTCGCTGAAGTGTCGGCGGCAAGAAATGAAAATATCACTCAAGTAAGTAGAGCTCATGACACAAACGAATATAACAACAACACCAACACCAATGACATTAAACTGACAACATAATAACGATTACTGTTATTTAATAAAATATGTAAACAAACACATGTCTAACTGTTGGTTTCTCTTCTTTTCAATATTGTCTCTCTCTCTCTTTTTTTTTATTCTCCCAACACCGTTCATCCAATTGTCCATGTGTGTGCGTGTGGCTGTGCTTTGGTTTGCAAAACAAAGGTCTTCAAAGAGCTATTATCACAGGCGAAAATCACGTACAATTTAAGTCCAGCATTACGTCGACGCCGCCAATCGCTACCACAACAAGTGGGCAATAATGGCCCCGGTACACCGACACACCACAACCATCCATCGTCACATCATCAGTCAGCGCACTCATCTGCCTCGTCGTCATCCGCCTATGGTGGTGCAGCCGCAGCCCATGCCCCAACAGCGGCCCAGTTGCAGCATTTGCAGCGAATACAGGAACGCAGTTTGGGTAGCAAACGTAATTCCTGTGCAATTTCCTAAAAATGTCAACAGCAGCAGCAACAACAACAACAGTAATAATAATAGTAACAGTAGCAACAACAACAACTGCTGCAGCTGCAGCTGCCAACCAGCATTAGCAACAGCAATCAAAATAAACTAACCCAACAGCAGCAGCAGCAGAAACAACAACAGAATCTGCTAAAGTGTTTACAAAACGGATACAAAAATCCTTTAGAAGAGACATACAAACATATATCCATCCATACACAAACATATATAGCTACATGCATGGATATACTACATGCATATACTTTTATACAGTTTTAAGTACATTTATCAAATGAACAGTAGTTGTGGTACAGTCAACGAAATTTCAATAGGGACACGCAATTCTTTCAAAAGGAGATTTTCTTTTAGAATACACCAAAAAACAAAATTTTTTTTTTTTAGAAGGCCACATAAAAAGTTGTCCTTAAACCCCCGGGCCTATAACTGTAGGAATATATCATTTGTTAAGGCCGAGAGGAGTTTAATTGAAATAAAGCTTGCCTGGATGGTGTGTACGATTAAAAAACAAGTACAAAGGCTGTAAGTTCGGCCGTGCCGAACTTTGAATACCCTCCACCATTTGGAACAAATTTAGCAATTTTGAAAAAAAATAAAATCCCTTAAAAATTCTGTTAAAATCTTAAAAATACCAAATGTAGCCTTCATATTAGGGCCTAAACAACGACGTGGACCTGCATAAGCAACTTTGTCATAAGCCATTACAATATTCAAATGCGAAACTTGAAGAAAAAAAACGGTGAAAAATGTAACTAAAATCATCAATATGGGGAGGTACTATTATATGAGGGCTATACCAAAATGTGGACCTGCACAGACAAATTTCTGCCTTGGGCTGCAGTATCCATTACGAACTTCAAATACTAAATTTGAAACAATTCCGGTGAATAATGTCGATGAAATCATCAAAATACCGAATATCGGGAGGTACCGTTAGATGGGGGCTATACTAAATACATGGCCCATTTTCAATACCAAAAGTCCAGCAGATAATAATCATTTGAGTAAAATTTTATCAATCTACTTCATTTCGTTCGGAAGCTAGAGTGATTTCCACAGACGGATAGACGGACAGGCGGAAGTCGCTAAATCGGCATATAATTTTATGCTGATCGAGAATATATATACTTTGTGGGGTCTAAAATGTATATTTCGAGGCAATTTAATACCTCGTCATTTAAAGGCAATCAGACTCATACATCATATTTTATAATTGTTTTAATTATTCCATATTTCGAGCCTTTGTGGGGAAATACCGATATTGTCTATTTTAGCACCTGACCTAGCACTGCTCCAAATATTAGAATTTGCAAAGTTGGAGCAAATTCGGAGTATCCTGTCCCTTTCTGTGTGGTAAAATATTGTTATTATTTTTTTAAATTTCGACCTATTGTGGGAGGTACCAGAAGGAGTGGACCGATATTGCCCATTTCGGAACTCGATCTAAGTTTGACGATAATATTACGATGTACCAAATCGAATACTCCATCGAGAGTTATCGCGCGCACCAGCCGGACAGAAAAAAAAGGCACCTTTAGATCGACTCCAAATATCCTGAAATGGATTTGGCCTAAAGACGTTATTTCGATGAGACACTTTTTGGCCGTATCAAATGATATATACCCTCTGTAGCCGTATGGTTGAGGTATAAAAATCTTATATTTTTGAAGACCACATAAAAAGGTCTCTCATATCCTCAGCCTTCTGGCAACAGGAATATTTCATTTGATAAGGTCATGATGTGTCTGATTGAAATAACGTTTATTTTTTAATAGATTTGGTGAACAATAACCGTGAAATCAGCTGAAGATATTTCTGGAAGCTATATGCAAATCTAAATCGGTCTCGATAACATTTGCAGAGATATTTCTGAGCTGTATCTGTACTCAATGTCATCGTTTTGGATGTGTGTATTGCGAATGTGATGGACTTAAACACCAAATCGTATGAAACATATATATGGGAGCTGTAACCATATCTTAACCGATTTTGGAGGACATGCTACCGAAATTAAAAGTTCTTGCTTCTAGACTACATTCGGTCGTATGTGCCAAAATCCATTCCATTTGGGATAATATTAACCATTTGGTGTACAAAAATCCTAAATCGGATAAAGATATGTATATTAACTATATCCAAATCTGAAAGTATTTTTGAGCTATATGATTCTACCAAATATCGTGGTTTTAGAGTTTATTGCGAATGTGAGGGATATTGCGAACGTGAGGGACTTAAACACCAATTCTGATGAAACGTGTGTTTGAATATTTCGCTACCGATTTTCACCATATTTGACATACTTACTTCTAGGCTGACTTCGGTCGAATATGCCAAAATCCAATAAATTTTAGCTGACATTACACATTTGGTGCAGAATATTATTGAAATCGGGTAAAGATATATAGAGGTATTTCTGAGCTGTATCTGATATCAGGTAAAAATATCATTGTTGTGGTGTGCGTATAACTTGATAACTTAACGAATTCAATATTTAAGGCATATGTCCGCACCGAACCATAAACCATCTCACCTTGAGAATGGAGAGGCATATCAACAATAACCTTTGGGTTTTCTAGCCCCATATGTTACAATTTTGTTGGTTGATGTAGCCTTCGAGGTGGAAATGGACCTCATCGGTCGAGATGATTTTATCCGATGAAATTTCGGATAATTTTCATCCATTTGGTATTGAAAGTGTAATATATTGATCCTCGTTTAGATATAGCAACACACAGCGACACCCCCTGATTTTCGGAATTTTGAAGGGATTTGCCTCAAATTCCAACCAAATAAGCTAATTTGATAATTTGGGTACATCGTAGATAGATTATCTCCTCTCAAAATTTAATAAAGTTTTGGAAAATTGTTATCCATTTCAAGGACCCTACCCACAAAGACACCATGTTGTTGATGGTCAGCTGGTTTGGGTTTTTGTAGGCCCAATAAAATATATATTTATGATCAACGTAAAATTTTATGCCGATTTATCCAACATTTAGGGCCGGAAATTACTCTGGGTTGTTATATGGAGGGACATCGGTAATTCTACTTAAAATATCACGCTAATCAAAAATATACATGATTTATGGGGTCTTCAATGAATATTGTGAAAGAAAAGCATGCGAAAAAAAAGTGTGGTTTTCAAAATTTTAATTTTTTTTAAATAAAATTGAAAAATTTGTCATATGTCTCCCGAACCGGTCATAGGCCCACAATCACTTTTAAGGTCAATTCTATAACCCATACTAAAATTTTTTTTCTTTTTAATTAAAGACTGTATTTTAAAATTTATTTATAAAGGTGGTTTAACGTTTTGAGAATGCCCAATTCTGTAGCTTTTTTAAAACTTGACTCATTGTGTATTTTTCAAAAACTTCATTTGTTTGTTTGGTTATTGTTTCAATAACAAATAAAATTTTGACAACTTTTCAATCGAAAAAGGTTACAGTTGATGGATTTTTCATGACAACTGATTGGAGTTGAGTTAAAATAAAATATTATTGTATTGTGTCCCCATTTAAATTTCGTTCACTGTACCTAAAATTTATTACCCTGAAATCGATGTTAGCATGTATGTGTATGTGTATCATAGAAAATGAATCAAGTATTGTGTGGTGTAGTGGTACTTCAAACAATGTTGTCTCTCTGTCTGTCTTTCACTCTGTCAATTTCTGTTCTATGTTCTATGATATCGTTGTCCTTGATTATAATCATGCAAACGATGATGATGATGATGTTAAGAACGAGGATGATGATACTTCCAAAATAGTTTTATTAACAAATTTCAAATACATTACAGAGGAAAATAGATTCCTGTGGTTTACAATGGAACACAACAATTTTAAAGTGAAACCAAAAAGAGAATAAAGTAAATTAAAATAAACTGCAATTGAATGAAGTTCAACATACTAAAATTAATTGAAAGTTTTGATTATTAAAATATTTATTTTTTTTATTAAAAATCTCAATAAATATTTTTAAAAAAGATTTGCTATAAAAATCAATTTTTAATTTAATTTAAATTCTTTTAATTTTAATAAATTTATTAAAAGTGTATTGAAATGCCACGAAAAGTCTTTATTCTCAATTTAAATAAAAAAAAACTTGGCCGACGACTTCGCCAATAGTGTGATTTTACATCTTAAATAATTCTAAATAAACGAATCTATAAGGGTTAGAGGAATGAAAGATCAGACTACAAATGCTAAAAATGCAGGTTTTTTATATTGACAAACTCTGGCCAGATATTAGCCATCATTTCCACAATAAACCTTAAATCGGATTAAGGATATACAGGGTGAGATAAAAACAAAATCCAACAACGTCAAAAGTAATAATTTTTACCTTTTGTCAAATTTTATTTAATGAAAGCAAAAAATGTCGGAAATAGCATACAATTTTAGAATAAGTTCAGATTTGTTAGAATTGATCACCTTTGACACGAATTATGGCCTTCAAACCGGCACACGCTGCCTGAATGTTCCTCTGCGGTATTTTGGCTCATTCCCGCCGAAGGGCTTGCTTGAGGTGATCGACACTTTGGTATTTTTTAGTGCCAACCTTGCTTTTCAAAATACTACAGACATAATAGTCCAACAGGTTGGTATCCGGAGATTTTGGTGGCCATTGTGCGCTGGAAATGAAGCGAGGAATCTCATTTTGTAACCATTCATGGGTGGCGCGTGGTGAGTGCGATGGTGCTGAGTCCTGTTGGAATGTCCAAGGTCTCCGGCCAAAATGTTTGCGTGTCCAAGGCTTTAATACACCCTCCAGAATATTTTCGCGATTATATTCGGCATTTATTCTGATGCCACGGTCGATTAATACGAGCGGAGAGCGACCATCGGCAGTTATGGTGGCCCACACCATCACCATGGTCGGCGCTTGAGTTCTGGTGGCCAACCGAAGGTGCAAATTTTCAGCTGACTTATTTGACAAGTAAACACGATCACTTTGTTTGTTTACAAACTACTGCTCAACAAATGTTTTCTCTTTGGAGAAAACCAAATTCTGCAGTTCACCACTTTCGGTCAAGCGAAGCAACTCTTTAGATCTTTTGAGTCTATTTTGTTTTTGTTGCGATATAAGTTCTTGCACTTTTTGGAATTTCAATGGCTTTACCCCGAGCTCATTTTTCAATATTTGCCGAATGGAATATTGCGATATGTTCCAAATATAAAGAAATCACACTATTACGCTTACATTCCATCACGAATAACTTTTTTCCTGGAAAATTCTCACCAAAATGCTTTTGTACGCTTGTAAACAATATAATGAGCTGTCACTGGAATAATTTTAACAGCTGGCGAAGAGTGGCTTAGAAATGACAGCAGTCTGAAGTTGGTTGCAGTATTTTCATCTCACACTGTATATGGGAGCTATATTCAAATCTGATCCGATTGCGATAAAACTTAATAGAGGTATTTCTGGGCTGTATCTGATATCTGGTAGCATATATTATTGCTGTGGAGTGGATATTACAAATGTGAGAGACTTAAACCCCCAAATCGAATAAAACATATGTATATTGGAGCTATATCTGAGCCGATTTGCACCAAGTTTGAATGTTGAATTCATTCTTGTTTCCAAGATGAATTCAATCGGAAATGCAAAAATTCAGCCAATTTAGGCTGATATTAGCCATTTGATGCACAATAAACCTGATATTGGATGAAGTGCTATATCCAAATCTGATCCGATCTCGATCCATATCTGGTACCATAGATTATTGATGTAGAGTGCATGTTACGCATGTGAGGGACTTCAAACTCCAAATCAGATGAAACATACATATGGTAGCTATAGCTATATCTGAACCAATTTTCCGATTTGATGTACATGTTTCTCGACTGAATTTGATCGTATGGGCCAAAATTCAGGTCATTTGGACTGATTTTGGCCATTTGGTGCATAATTACCCCGAAATCGGTTGAAGATATATATAGGAGCTATATCTGAATTTGATTCGATAATCACCAATTTTAAAAGGTTTCGTCCTTGGGCCAAACAAACATTGTTGGGATGGTTGGAAATTTGATTTCAATCGGATAATAAATGCGACCTGCATTTTGTTTACAAGAATGGACAGACGGAAGGACTGATATGCATAAATTGACTCAGAAAGTCATTTTTTAGAGATCCTCAAAGGTGACTATGTGTCCATCTCGCTTCCTTCTCTATTTGGTGTAGGGTATGAAATATTAGGATTTCCGAAAATTGAGCGGAATCGGTTTCTACTTTACGAGCGTTTTGTTATTCAAAATTTCCACCCCTTTATGGGTGAGGTAACAGGAGGAGGAGGCCGATTTATCCCATCTTCACACCAGATCTCGTGTTAATAAAAAATTTGGATATGTGAAATCTAAAGAGAATCGGTTGTTTTTTAAGAGCTTGAAAATGTTGACCCTTTATGGGGGAGGAATCAAAAGGGATGAACCGATATATCCTATATTCATACAAGATCTTCTATTGGTGGTAATATTGGGATGTGACGAATTTGAAAGGAATCGAGAGATTATTTCGCGTTTTATGAGCTTCTTGTTTATTCAAAATTGTTGACCCGTTGTGGGGGTCAACTAGAAGTTGTGGTCCGATATATTCCATCTTCATGCAAGATCTTCTATTGGTAAAAATGTCGGGATGTGCTAAATTGTAAGGCAATGGGTCTTTTATTTCATATTTTATAATAGTTTTAATTATTCAGAATGTTGACCAATTGTGTGGGACGGGTACTTGATACTGGGGCACTTGATGGTTTGGCCAATATAACTCAATTTCGCACCTGACCCAGGACTGATAAAAACATTAGGATTTTCAAAAATTCCCACAGAATTGACATTTTACAGACAACCTAAGTCCAAAAATTATTATTCCAACCAAGTGGGTGGTAATTCATAATTCTTTATTTTGTAAGGACATGCCAAAGGAGCATTTCAATACACTTTAATTGTTACCATAAAAACTAATCCATATATCAAGCACACATTTAACAACCATTTCCGAGTCCTTATAACAACATCCATATTTAAAATACGGGTTTCAATAATACAGAGAATAATAAAAATATATAAAATATCTTAAACAAATACAATTTAATAACGAAATCAATCACTTTGTTGATAGCAACAAAACAAGGTTTCTTATTAACAGGATACTTAACGAAAATTAAGCTACAGCCAGCCAGTCAGTCAGTTAGCCCGCAAAATAACCATTCATTTCATTTTCATTTCAAACCAAGGGCAAATTTTGAAAAAAAAAACGACAACGGGTATATGATCTTTTTTTAAAACAACCAAAAAAAATGGAACAAAATTTGGAATAGGGATATAAAATATTTAACAAACTGAATTATTCAACACACACACACACTATTATACTGTGGTACTCTTAATAATAATATTTAGCTATAAAACTATAAATAACAATTAACGTTTTTTTATTTGTATTTAATATTATTAAAAGAAAGAAAAAACAACATACATATATTAACTACCAGGAAATGTAACACCAAAATCTAAAATGATAAAAACATGGAATTAAAAATTATGAAAACAGTGAACTGAAGTACATACATATGAAAACAAAAACTAAAAACAAAAACTAAAAAAAAAAAACAAAATAAATATTCGAAAAAAAAAAATAAATAATAAAAATTAAAATATTAATTAAAAACAAACATGACAAAATCAATGTTAGTTAAGTGTTTGATGTTAGAGAGTAATTAAGTGATTTTAATTTGGAATGGGCGTATGGTTGCAATATCGGTGATTAATTAAATTACATTTACATATTATTAAAAAAAATATCATATATATTTTTGTATTATTATAAAATATGCATTTTAATAAGTTTTTATTAAAAAATACTATTACTATAATTTTTATGGATTTACAAAGCTAAATGTAGGTTATTAGAGACAGAACTGAAATTAGGAATTCTACCCATAACTTACTTTCGTGGGAAATGATCCTGGCTCCCTTATATAGTGCAGCTCGGTTAATCTACAGGGTGAGATAGAAAAACTGCAATAAAGTCAAACGCCATATTTATACATTTTTTTTAAAATTTTATTGAATGAAAACAAAAAATGTCGGAAATAGCATCAAATTTTAGAATAACTTTAGATTTGTTCGAATTGGTCATCTTTGGCACAAATTATGGCCTTCAAACGGCTAATGAAACCGTCACACGCTGCTCGAAAGTTGCTCTGCGGTATTTTGGCCCATTCCCGGTGAAGTGCTTGCTTGAGGTGATCGACACTTTGGTAAGTAAACACGATCATTTTGTTTGTTTACAAACTGCTGGACAACGAATGTTTCCTCGTCAGAGAAAACCAATTTCGGCAGTTCACCACTTTCGGCCAAGCGAAGCAACTCTTTAGCTCTTTTGAGTCTATTTTTTTTCGGTTGCGATATAAGTTCTTGTATTTTTGGAATTTCTATGGCTTTACCCCGAGCTAATCTTTCAATATTTGCCGAATGGAATATATTGCGATATGTTCAGCTCACGAGCTATTTTTCGGCCAATGCGACGCGGGTTCAAGTCGTTTCTTTATTTTTCGAAACATTTCTGCTGATGTTGCTGTTTTCTCCCGTCCACATTTTTGACGTCGGGCTACGCTACCAGTATCACAGTAACGAGCGATGTTACGAGACACAAAAGATTTATTCGCATTTAAATGCTGGAGTGGTCTGGCGATGCCTGGTTTTCCAGGCAAATATAAAGAAATCACACTATCACGCTTGAATACCATCACGAATAACTTTTTTTCTGGAAAATTCTCACCAAAATGCTGTTGTACGCTGTAAACAATATAATGAGCTGTCACTGGAATAATTTTAACAGCTGTCGGACGAGTGGCTTAGAAATAACAGCAGTCCGAAGTTTGTTGCAGTTTTTTTCATCTCACCCTGTGCAATACTG